AAACTTAGGTTATTTTTAACTACAGTGCTGCCAGACAGCGGCAAAAAACTGCATTCGCTTGTCCGTCAAACCGTTCACTTTTTGACGAATAAATATGAAGTGTATGATACATTGATGGACACTTGGGTATTCTGCATATATTATATAGATGGCGTTGTTTTACATTAATTAGAATTTCAAATTAGTACATTGTAGTTCATTCTCCAAAGTGACAGATGTCGCTGGAGTTCACGAAATGTATTTTTACTAATAGAAATTAGTTTTGAATCGTTTCAATTGAATTTTAATATTTTCTTTGTGCTAATATTAGCAATTTTTATACATTATAGTAAAACGGAATTTTATAAAGTATTCAAAAATATGCGTAAGATCTCAAATGTACACTATTTTGTTTCTGGTGTGTATGTTTATCAAATTTTATATAATTGTCAACTTTTATATAATAATTAACATAATTTATAAGCACATTTCCAGTAATATTAACCTCGTTACACTTGTGGTAAAGTAACTGAAAGCAAAACCGTAACATCTGATTCTTTTAGTTTGTTTTTTTTTACACTAATAATAAAAATTACGTTTCGTGTAATTAGAAATATAATTTATCGCAATCGGCATTAACTTTCTATTTCTTCATTCCACTTAAATGTATGAATACTTCGCAATTATAACCAAAATAATGTTTGGTTGAATCAAATGAGTACTTTGAGTCGAACAAAATACGTATACAAATTGTAATAGTTATGAATGACGTATTAAAATATCTTACTGCAGTCAGCTCAAAAATGAGAGTAGAATCCATCGAAAGTAAAAGCGGTGACACATTCTAAAGTGCATTTAATGTTATAACAATATATATTATCCTCGTAAAAATGTATCAATTCTTTTATTGGTCGAAAATATTTTTTAAAACGATTTTGAAACGATATCATTAAGGCAAAGTTTTTAAAAATTTTGAAATTATAATCACAGTATCGCTGACATACGATAACTTAATAATTCAATAATTTCAAATTAAAAAACCGCATCCATATTAATAGAACTGTTATGAGCTACGATGGTACAAACAGACATACATACATTTATATCAAACAAATAACATCTCCCTTTTGATTTGATGACTAAAAATATATATGTCTTCTTAAATATACACTTTGATTCCAATTTCCATTAATAATTGTTTTAACTTGACGCCGTTACTCTTTGTAACCAAATATATGATACTCTCTTTAAACGCCGACTTGCTAAGTCATCAAGCATCACTGACCACAAATATTAGTTACTTAGTAAACTAGGATCGAATATCATTTCAAATATAAGAACAAATTCTCTAAATAATGTGTTGCGTTATTCAATTAACTTTTTATATTTAATAAACGATTGTCACCAAATTTGGTTGTGAGTATTTAGAAATATAGAAGTATTTATAAAACTAGAATAAAACTAGCCTGGTGTTTAAATGTCATCGGGTTAGTCGGTAGAGGTGAGACGTTGAACTTTTATAAGACGCAAAGAGCAAAAAAGTATTCAAACTTATTTTTAGTTAAAAATTAAACATTTTAAGGGAATAATGTCACTCGTAACTGTTCATGTGTTTACAAATGCTACTTTCATGCTAATTATATGATATCATATACAAATATTGTAGTAACAGCAGCGTCTTTTTTAAAAGAATTAAAGATTACAAATTTTTCTTTCATGCCTATATATTAAATAAGTCACAGAAGTGTACGAATGGTAAGAAAAATTTAAACCCAAGGTTATATTTTATTGTTTTAAAACATTTGAATCGTAGGAGCTACACATCGATGAAGAAGTGTGACGAACGGTTGTTGGCAAACCGGCAGATGCTTTAATATACTTATTTGATAAGCACTTTAAAATATTTACTGTATACATACGAACATTGCGAGAGTTTTGTAACCAAAAAAATTATGTTTTTTGCAATATTTTTCATATCTTATAATTAAATTTCATTAACAAGATTACATATCCAAACATTCAAGTTTTAAATGAAGCAACGTAAAAATTAAATGAATAAAAATGAATTGCTATATTAATATAAATGCAAGAATTCATTACAGAGTGTCATTTGTTTTGTTTTATTGTTTGTAATACATTATTACTTACGTTACTAAACCGATGATGGTTCAACTATGTTGAAAGTGGAGGCGATAAACTCATGCCATATGAAGAGAAAAACGTCGTGAGAAATCCTGTATATTCTGTGATATGTTAATGCAACTAAATGCTGCAATATTGTGATCTTAAAAGTAATCTTATAATCTTGGGTTCTTTTAAAAAGAATAGTAATATCTTTTATACTTTTTAATTCAGTTTCAAGTCTGTTAATATCCACAAATTTTGTCACAATTGGTAGTCTTTTTAAAGTTTTTTTCTTATAAACCAATTGATATTATATTTTTGGATATTTGTTTTGAAATAAGATGTTCGTATAAGCTTGTACATAAATCAAGATGGTTGAATATTACTATAATCTATATCCATTGTAGTAATAGCGGCATTTATTTCGTAAGAGACATTCGTTCCATTGTTTTTAACAGAACATTGGCTAATATATTTAATTTGATTATTAATACTGACAACAATATTACCTCACGTATTAGTGAGACCTATACACTTATATATATATATATATATATATATATATATATATATATATATATATATACATTATGTATTGTCATTGTAATTGTTTTAAATGCAAATATAGATGACGTATCGTATTAGGTAATTTTGCATATGCAATACAACTAGTAAATAATATTGATATTGATATATGTGCTTAATTCAGATGCAGCTAAAATATTATTTTTCATACTTATACCGTATTTTGTATAAGTCAATTAAAATTTGCGATATACAGTACCAGTTTGTTTAATTGTTTGATACTCACAAAAACTAAAACGAAAGCTTTGATATAAAATAATATTAAATACTAGCTGACTCGGCAGACTTCATACTGCCTCAATGAACAAATATATAATTTTTTATTCATGTTTTTCGAGTTTACCTGTAAGTCATAGATCACCGTGTTCTGAAGTTACTAGTTAGTTGTGAAATCTAAGGTCAAAAATAACATTTGTATGGAAAATAGGGAACAGCTGTTTTTAGGGTTTCTCGGAAAAGATTCAATTTTTTTCAGCTTTCAAACCTTCCCTAAACCTCCAAAACATTTCGAGACTAAGATCAGATAAATCCGTTCAGCCGTTCTAGAGTTTTAGTGAGACTAAAAAACAGCAATTCATTTTTATATATAGATAGATATCTTACGTATGTATAACTAGTTAATAAATTGACTTTACTATATTGAACTTTATTTTAAAATAAAATAAGGTTGTCTTTAAGCTGAATCATTAACAGACGGTTTTAAAAATTAATTAACCAAATGGTATGCGTTTCTAATTACTTGTGTTTCAGTATTATGAAGTAAATATGATATCTGATCCTATACAGTAAAGATATCGTTATATCATCGTGTGCGTTAATTATCCTACCGCCTTCCTTGTGTACCAGTTTTCCATAGCCTGGTCGTATCTAGAACAAATATCAAATATGTATAATCTTTTATTCCGTTCCTCAACTTAATAACAATGTGCTTTACTCTTATTAATATAAAAAAATCTAAACATATTTTATATTTTAAAAGTATAAGTATTTCTTATAGATATTAAAGATTTGTTTTTAGCATTGCGTACTTAAACAGCAATTATGTGACATGTACATTAATATTAAGTGAAACGAAATTACTCGTGTACCAAATCTTACGTGTCATAACTTGCTTGAGAGACCTACCATTAATAAACGCATTTCACATTCTGTTACATAGTCCATAGAATTGTTGAATTTTTAATTATTTTCCAATGAAATTTCGAACAATAAGATTCAATTTATTTATAGATTGTATTAATTCCTTTCCTAATATGTTTGAAATCGATTCGTACTTTATAGAAGGTTTATTGAAGTGAAAGATGAAGTCGTAGGAAGAGTTTTGAAACTATCGAGAGGTTAATATAATAACCGGCAGCCATAATGTTGGGTAAATAGGTAATTTGTGTTGCAGATAAATGATAGATCGTAAAAAAAATAAACTGGAAAATATAATGACATATATATATGTCACACGGCAGCAAAACAGAAGTTTAATTCAAGATACTTCTATCTTAGAGGTATACAGTACTATACTATATACAAAATTTGAATGAAATAATAAGTTTTTTGCCTTTAAAATGACTAGGAAAACACTTATTTAAATAAATTAGATTTTTTTTTATGTTACATGTAATTATGATACTTTTGCAAAATCATATATACATCATGAATACTTGTATTACACAGAAGCCATCGAATAATTAATTCAGAATAATTTATACATGCAATCTCCCTAGTGTGGATCCCATAAGTGTTAGTACTAAGTAAGTGTTATTGGGTTGTCACTTATTCAAAACAACGGTGTCTACACAGTAAGTACGCGGTGAGTATACATCACTTGTCATAGGTTTCGTAATGGCTTAAGTAGCCGCGATTCAAATGTTTTGCGATGCGATACTAATCTAGGCCATGTTATGTTATTTCGTAAGACCACGGTATACGAGCCAAATAATAACCCGATACGCACTTAAATTATCTTAACAATACATTATTAATGAAAAACGGTATACAGTTTCTGGCATTGCCAAACATTTATTACTTAAAATCACAATTTTTCTAGAGAAAATATTTCGTCCTATAATAACAGGTACATCAACTCAAAATATAAAAAAATAAAACGCAACAGTTACCGATGGAAAAATAAAAAATACATTAACAAAATTAAAAAAGAAGTTACATTAGCGCGAAACTATTGACAGTCTTAGGGTAGCAAAGTTAAGATCTAGTAAATACCACTATCCACTTTTATTTTGTACCCTAAATCTCTCAATTGTAAAGATATCTATTCTTAGAGTTACATATCACAATATAGCCTCTGCTTCCTGCAGCCATTAGTAGCTTCCATGATGTCCATACTCGTGACCGTGACCAATGACAACTGGGACTGGCACTTTGACGGGGTAAGGCACTGGCTTCTCAATATGGACTGGCACGTGCTTTTCGATGTGGACGGGGTAAGGCCTGTCTACTGGTACTTTGACGGGGAAAGGCACTGGTTTCTCTACTGGGTAGGGGATATGCTTCTCGACGGGGTACGGGGCTGGTACTGGTACTTTGACTGGGTAAGGCACTGGTTTTTCAACGTGGACTGGGTATGGTCTGTCATAAGGAACCTTGACTGGGTAAGGCACTGGCTTCTCTACTGGGACAGGGTAGGGTTTTTCAACTGGTACAGGGTAGGGTTTCTCAATGTGTACTGGGTAAGGCCTGTCGACGGGAACCTTTACGGGTACGTGAACCTCTTTAATGACTGGGTAAGGTGCGGGTACATGTACTGGGACCTTTACGGGGTATGGAACCTTCTTTTCAACTGGGTAAGGAGCTGGGACTGGTACTTTAACGGGTACATGTACCTCTTTCTCTACTGGGTAAGGTTGGGGCACGTATACCTTGACGGGGACGGGCCTGTCAACGGGTACATGAACAGGGTAAGGTACCTTCTTCTCAACTGGGTAGGGTTGTGGTACATGGACAGGTACTTTGACTAGTTCCTTAACGGTGTAAGGTACGTGTTTAACGACTGGGTAAGGTTGGGGAACTGGTACCTTAACTGGTACTGGTACATGCTTCTCAACTGGATAGGGGATGTGTTTTTCTACTGGATAGGGAACTGGTACATTCTTTACTACAGTGATAGTCTTGTGACTTTCTCCGTAACCACCGAAACCACCCCCATATCCTCCCAGACCGCCTTCAAAACCACCATAGCCTCCGCCGTAACCGCCGCTATGTCCTCCATATCCTCCGTAGCCTAAGTTGAAGAGTCCACGTTTTTCGTGCTTTTTGTCTTCTGCCGCCGCAGTGTTGTCGGATACTGCCACTTCTTTTTCTGCCGCCTTAGCCTCTTCCGCATGAGCGAAAGCCAAGACAACCACCAGACTGGCGGCCACGAGCTGTGAAAATAATGAACAAATATATTAAACAAATATGATACTAATAAAACATCTGTTTTACTGCTTAATTATTCACTTTAAAATATATCAAGCAGTAACAAGTAAAATAAATTATGTGACAGAGTTGTTGTAAGGAATATATTATTATGATTTACTGATTTATCTCAGTGTCTATCTATCAATCGGTTAAGTAACGAATACTGTTTAAAAGGCAAATTGTGGCTTATAGGAACATTAGCGCCGTATACAATTTCCTTGTTGCGTAACAATTAAATCGGGACGATAGTCCAGACAACACAGTCACATTTCACTATCACTAGACACGGATTGTAACACACCATGAGCTTCATGATGCTGCGCTTAGTTGGTTGCACTGAAGGCAGCGAAGTCCTGAATGCGAATGATGCATGGGTTGTTCAACCACGCTATATATATACGGATTGAGCGGTCGAGCGAAGAAAAAAAATTGCACCGCTCCGTAGGACTACGTTATACTTTCGCTTTCGAGGGGTATCGTACAGTCGCAAAGCAAAGTGCTCCATATACCGAGATTCGGACCGGTTCTGAGATAAGGAGAACGGTTCCCGAAACAGAGAGGCGATCATATTGTCAACGGACATTTGCATTTCACCGATTTAATTGCGATAACTATGAAGTAACTGTCTCGTGTTCCATGTTAATACAAGTTGTAATTTAAGACTTCCACGCTTTAATTGAAAGCTTGTTTAATAGAAAACGTTAGTAATATTACTAAAGATTACAAGTTATAAAGATTTATAATATCGATGACTGAAAAACAATAAATATAGGGAGCATTAAGTTTACATATATAGTTATAGTATATTGAGATAAAAAAATCTCATTAGAAATGCAATAAAATGTTAGTTTTGATTTCCGTCGTGTCGGCATGACTAGATTTCAGATAGTACAGAATCTTATAAAGTTTTTCACATAACCTTGACCATTAACTAAAATACCGATAAAATATATTCGGCAATCTGGCTTTATTATAAAAAATTTCGCAAGCATTACTTAAGCCCGATACTTATTATACAAACAAAAGCTTCTTAATTGAATGTATATATATAAATTATTTAAATTGTCACAAGTAATATTTCAAAGCATCTGAAATAGTCATTTTAAAGAATAAAAAATTCGTACAAGAATTTAAATATATTTTTTTACTAATTAACAATAGGAACTGAATTAACATTAAGTATCTATTGTACTTTTATCTTATGTAAGGTTATCATTGAGAATCGTCACTTGAAAATTTATTAATTTCCGTATTTCCATTACAACTATCCTTTATAAAAAAAATTGTTATTCTATAATACGCAATATATAATTAGATATTTTTATATGTAAGTATGTATAAATTATGAAGTAATACCGTTGTATATAATTTAAATATTTAAATAGAATGCACCTTCGATATTTTGGAAACATATGCAAAACTATAAATCAAAAGATCATTGTTATTTATAGTTGTAATTAAATATTGTAATAATGTTCTACAAGACACACCTACCTTTCATTTCATATACCGTCTAGAACATCATTAAATCACATCGGATGCGTGCTAAAATAATCTTTATGGCACAAAAAATAAAGGAGGTTAATCCATATTACATATAGATGGACCTTTGAAATAGCTATTTTGAAAGTTGTAAATTTTTAGCGTACGCTCACTTGGTTTGTTATATTAAGAACTATTAATAAGAGGTGTGAAATGTCGATATAAAAAAGGTATAATTGTATTTATATTTCAAAATATAATCGTTATAGTAAAGAAAAGAGAAATATGAATTATCATTGCCAAAAATATGAAAAGAATAATTAAAAACGTCAAACTTGCAATTTCAAATTGAAAATAAAGATGACTAAGGCAACAATAGAAACAGTTTTTTTGAATGTTTAACATAATAACTGCATGTATATAAATTGTATTAATTCAGTAAATGAAAAGCCTGAAATATCTTCTTTCAGAATAGAAGAATATTTTTATTAACAATCCGTAGTAAGAGCATTTATATATATGAATACATTTTACTCTACAGTAGTTATACTATTTTATATCTCCCGTTGATCATTCTCGACTTCTGTATAAGTAACAAATCAACCTCAATGATCATACACGCACTTATTCAATTATGTAATTATTAATATTAATGATATAATTTTGATACATTTGAAAACCAATTTAGCAAATTTAATTTAATAGGCGATGAGTGATTGAGGATATATGAATTAAAATCTATCCGGTGTTAAGCAATTCGTGTGTCTTAAATAACAACTGTGACCTACACATGTTTCTATATGTCCATAGTATGTCCTACTTTTTAACTCCCGAAGCAAAGGGGTGTTATAAGTTTGACCTTGTCTCTTTGTGTGTTTTTTGTTTACATATGTGTATGTGTGAGTGTGAGTGTGTGTATCTGTCTATGGCATTAGGTATAGTTCTGAAATGAATTTACAGATTTCGATGCAGTTTTTTTCGTTCGAATGCCTGTTTCCTCCATGTGGTTCTTACTTTTTAACAAAGATTGGTTTATATCGGTCAAGCAATGAAGCAGTATCAGCTCTTTAAGAGAATGTTGATGAATTATGAGGCATTTGTGGTCTGCGATTACTCGATCGAGTGCTTCACTCGTGTTAGTATAATCACTAAATGGCAATTAATTCGTGGGGTTATTGTTCAGTAGTAATCCGGTCTTTAACTCATTTATGGATTAAATAACATCTGTCCTTTCATTGACCTATTAAAGAACATAGTGATTAATAAATTTGTTTTAATACATGTATATTTTTGATTTATTGCAAAAACGTTTTCAATAAATAAAAAAAGATTTTAGTAAGTTTATATAATAAAAAATATTTTCGAATAGACGCAGAGCTAAATGAAAAATGTTCTTAAAATATATAAATTAAAATAAATATTTATTATGCATTAATATGAAAAATTATGAATGTAATAAATAATTGAATATATTTTGTTAATGAATTACTACAATATTAACATAAATGAATGTTTTTGTTACAAAATACATTTTATTATTTGATATCATTAAAAGTTGGAGTCACGTGAGGCAAGAGTCGTTTCCTTGTTGCGATATAATATCTCCTTGTAACATATAAAGTTTAGCAATTGAACTGTTTAAATTACTTTATGTACAGATGGACAGATCATTGTGTAACGATTATCATCGTATAAAAGTTATTTGGTCGGTTTCGGCGCGTCTTATTAATGTTCGTATTAGTGACCACTTGTATTGACGATTTAAATGTCTTTAATTTATTATCATGTTTCTGCAAGTGTACAGCTTTATGTATCTTTGTCTTAATATTTGTGTTTGAATATATAGGTAGTATAATAAAATGAAGATTTTATACTTTAACTAGTTTTTGCCTGCGACTTCGTCTACGTTAGTTTCAGAATTAGAAATGGATAGGTGATCGGTCGAACTTTATTTCGTAAAGAGAGTAGATAAGGATTTTGGATTTGATCAACTTATTTCTTTTTATCGGGTGAAAAGTATCCTATTTCCTTGCCTTTGTTCTAAGCTATCTCTCCACTAATTTCCAGCCAAACCCGTTCTTGAGTTATAAATGGTATAACTAACAAGACTTTCTTTTATATATATAAAATATAGATTGGTCTAATTCTTCATATTCATGACAATTACTAAATTTCTTTTATATTATTAAGTCTTAAGAACGTACCTTTTTAAAAATTTATATTGTTCATTTATTCATATGTTCTATATATGTAGTTGAAAAACATATATAAAGTACATTCAGAAATACTTTATTTCTCAATGTCCGCGACGCAGTAGTAATTGGGGCCGCTTATAACATTAATTATTTGTTTTAATTAAACATATGATAATCATATTTACATTACCTGTATTTCTTATAGCTATTTCCTTTCATTCTTATATAATACTATTAAATTATTTTTGTTATTATTTGACATATTGAGAGACCCATTAAACCCATTTTCTATAGACTTCTTTTTTAATTAAACTATTATTTTACTTAATTCAGCATACATTTTTGTATAGCATCATAAATATAAATTTCAAGACTTCATTTTATATATCAAGATAAAGTTCGTATTTGTTTCTCTACTTGGTAATGACAGTCTATATATTTTACAGAACGCTTATAATCTTCACACTTCTGATGTCAATTAAATATATATACAATATGTATATCATTCAACTATAGTAATTTTGAAATGCCATAGTTTTGGTATGTTATTATTTAAACTATATTAGATTAAAATAGTATTCTTCCTAGAAGAAAACTATCTTAGTGAATACGTAATTTCAAAATATCAGTAACGTTAAAAAATACTTTCACTACTAACAAATGTTCGCAATAACAAGTATGGATAATATTTGACATGTAATAAATTTAGTGTAAAAAAAATTATAAGTTTGAGAATCAATTTCTGACGGTCATCAATATAATGTTTATTACCAAAATCACATATTTTTTTAGATGTCCTCTTTTTTATTTTTTTTACTAATATTCACTAATCATGAAATAACAATGACATTTTCTTACTAAAGATTCAGTTGGAGTATCGATAAGATCGATTTTTCATAATAGAAAGTGTAGGAATTGCTCCTTCTTGCTTATGTATCCCATTCACAATTGCCTAATGCTTTTCCTTTCCTGTTTATTGCTTGTAATTTGTCCTAATGTTGTAAAAACTGTAAGTAAAATATTTAGTCAATTAAAAGGGTTACCGTTGCTACAGATATAAATGGACTTTATAAATGACATGAATAAATCAGATTTATATAAATTCTTTCCATGCGTATGTACTTGTATTTATATCGATTCGATAAAGTTGTTATATAATTTAAATTGGTTTATATGAAACTTATATTTTTGGGATGTTCTACGAGATTTTCTTTTTGATAAAAAACTACATACTGCCGACGTTTCCGTTATTATACAGCAATCGTGTTCACAGGCAGACTCTCATCTCGTCTGTATGGTCTTGTTTTTTATCAAAAAATAAAATCGCGTAGTAAATCCGAAAAATGTTAGTTTCATTTTAATGAATACTCTCGGAAATCTTAGATCTCATTAATTCAAATTGGTATTTAAAAATATCAACTTTTGTAGTATACTAGATAGGTTCAAATGTTACATTTATTTTAATAAATCTCTGACTCTTGCTCATGATCAGATATTCATATATGCTAAGGCCATTTCACTGCTTGATACAGTAGCTGCATACTAAAGATATAATACTATTATCAACGATCAAGTCTCTCATGGAATATATTTAACACCAGGTTAGTACTCGTACGAGTATTGCAAAACATAAGGT